ACTCTTCACTTATCTGTGAGATGTTGGATTTTGAAGTGCGTTTTTTTGAGCTTGCAAGTAACCTGGGGATCAGTGCCAAAGCTGGGGGGGGGGGGGGGGGTGTAATTTTTGAGTTTAATACCTTGTATTCTTCTCTTCCCTCCCTCCCTCCCTCTGCCTGCGGTGCTGATTTCAAAATCCTGAATGCAGGGCCTTCGGCCAGAAGGGGCTTGTTGGCCTTTGCGGGGTTAGCACTCTCGTTTTGTTGTGCTTGATCGGCCCTTGAGGGCCCATGAAGGTCAGGTACCTGTGGTCCCTCCTCGTGGAGGGCTGGTTCCAGCATGATGTGTACGAGTGCTCTGAATTGTACTTGGGGTGTGGACCCCACGCTTTTGCTCGTGCTTGTAATGTGGTCGCTCTCATCTTGCTGTTGCTCGCGTCGGATATTCAAGCTCGGTGTGTCCTTGACTTTTTATTCGCCAGGCCTTTCGGCCGCTGCCGTCTGCCTCCAAGCTCTGGCACTTAGGGTCCCCAGCACAGCTTATTTAAATCTATGTTTTACTAAACGCACTTTTACATTGCTAGTGCTCCCCCTCTCGTGCCGTCCCTCTCCCTCTTGTCCTCGTCCTCTGCCTCGTCCTCCTCGGCTTCGCCGCCGCTCAAGTTTCGGCCCCGACCCCCCCTCCCTGTGAGGGGTTAGCACTCTCGTTTTGTTGTGCTTGATCGGCCCTTGAGGGCCCATGAAGGTCAGGTACCTGTGGTCCCTCCTCGTGGAGGGCTGGTTTCAGCATGATGTGTACGAGTGCTCTGAATTGTACTTGGGGTGTAGACCCCACGCTTTTGCTCGTGCTTGTAATGTGGTCGCTCTCATCTTGCTGTTGCTCGCGTCGGATATTCAAGCTCGGTGTGTCCTTGACTTTCTATTCGCCAGGCCTTTCGGCCGCTGCCGTCTGCCCCCAAGCTCTGGCACTTAGGGTCCCCAGCGCAGCTTATTCCCCATATCCTAAAATGGGGTTCTTGTTATTACTTGGACGCCTCCTACTCCTTCTCCTCCCTCCTCCTCTTTCCTCCTCCCCTCCTGTCGGAGTTACTCATACTCAGACTTGCTCATACACAGACTTACTCATACTCAGACTTACTCATACTCAGACCTACTCATACTCAGACTTACTCACACACAGACATACTCATACACAGACTTACTCATACACAGACTTACTCATACACAGATTTGGAGGATGTCTCGAGCGAGGCGCTCATTTCAGCACCCCTAAGGGGAGCCGCCAGGGGTGTTTGCACGGGCTCGTTCGCGGCCATTTTGTGGGGATGTCTCAGGCGGTTTGCCTGTTTCTGGGCCCAACATACTTCGCTTTCGGAGCAGATTTGGAGGATGTCTCGAGCGAGGCGCTCATTTCAGCACCCCTAAGGGGAGCCGCCAGGGGTGGTTGCACGGGCTCGTTCGCGGCCATTTTGTGGGGATGTCTCAGGCGGTTTGCCTGTTTCTGTGCCCAACATCCTTCGCTTTCGGAGCAGATTTGGAGGATGTCTCGAGCGAGGCGCTCATTTCAGCACCCCTAAGGGGAGCCGCCAGGGGTGGTTGCACGGGCTCGTTCGCGGCCATTTTGTGGGGATGTCTCAGGCGGTTTGCTTGTTTCTGTGCCCAACATCCTTCGCTTTCGGAGCAGATTTGGAGGATGTCTCGAGCGAGGCGCTCATTTCAGCACCCCTAAGGGGAGCCGCCAGGGGTGGTTGCACGGGCTCGTTCGCGGCCATTTTGTGGGGATGTCTCAGGCGGTTTGCCTGTTTCTGTGCCCAACATCCTTCGCTTTCGGAGCAGATTTGGAGGATGTCTCGAGCGAGGCGCTCATTTTCACCCCCCAGGTGGGCCAGATTTTGAGGATGTCTCGATCGGTTTGCTTGTTTTGGTGGCCAGGCTCGTGGGCGCAGATTCTTCTCAGGATGCCACAGGAGGCTCCAACAGGCTCCAGGAGGCCCCAGGAGACCACATGAGGTCCCAGGAGGCATCAGGAGGCCACAGAAAGACTCAAGAGGCCACAGGATGTCCCAAGAGGCTCCAGGAGGCCCCAGGAAGCTCCAGAAGGCCTCAGGAAACCACAGGAGGCCCCAGGAGGCAACAGGAAACGCCAGGAGGCCTCGGAAGGCAACAGGAGGCCCCGAGAGGCCCCAGGAGCAGGAGGCCTCAGAAGGCAACAGGAGTGGCTCCAATCCCATGTGTTTTACGTATGCTCCTATCGATTGGGCCTCACCTGGAGCACGATTCTTTGATGTTCTACGTATGTTTCTATAGATGGTCCTTCTCCTGTGTACACAATCCTAAATGTTTTACTCATGTTCCTATGTATTGGGCCTCTCCTGGGGCACGAGTCCTTGGTGTTTTACGCGTGTTCCTATATATTGCCCTTCTCCTGTGGCTCTAATCCGCAATGTTTTATGTACGTCTGTTGCTATAGATTGCGCCTCTCCTGGGGCACGAAACCTTCCTAGGAGGTCCCAGGAGGTCCCAAGAGGCTCCTGGAGACCCCAGGAAGCCCCAGTAGGTTTCAGGAGGCCCCAGGAGGCCCCAGGCTCATGCACAGAGACGCGCTCGTACTACTGAGGCTCATTCACACTCCAATTCATTCGCAGTTAGATTGATGTCCAGACCGTCACAACTGAAGCCCGTTAATATTCGAAAGCTCTTGCGCCTAGACGTTCACGGCGGACAGGTCCATGCGAGTAGATGCACATATGGGGAGCTCCACGCAGTGAATAATTTAAATATATGTTTTACTAAACGTGTGAGGGGTGTGCCGACTTGGGTGTGGGGGACGCATGCGGGCGGCAGCACTGGGGCCTTCGGTGGGGCTCCCTTATGGGGCCACGAAACGTGTGAGCGGTGTGCCGAATTGGGTGTGCGTGACGCAGGCGGGCGGCAGCACTGGGGTCTTCGGTGGGGCTCCCTATGGGGCCACGAAACGTGTGAGGGGTGTGCCGAATTGGGTGTGGGGACGCATGCGGGCGGCAGCGCTGGGGCCTTCGGTGGGGCTCCCTATGGGGCCACGGAACGTGTGAGGGGTGTGCCGAATTGGGTGTGGGTGACGCATGCGGGCGGCAGCACTGGGGCCTTCGGCGTGGGCTCCCTATGGGGCCACGAAACGTGTGAGGGGTGCGCCGAATTGGGTGTGGGTGACGCATGCGGGCGGCAGCGCTGGGGCCTTCGGTGGGGCTCCCTATGGGGCCACGAAACGTGTGAGGGGTGTGCCGAATTGGACGGTGTGGGTGACGCATGCGGGCGGCAGCACTGGGGCCCCCGGCGGGGCTCCCTATGGGGCCACGAAGCGCGCGAGGGGTGCGCCGAATTGGGTGTGGGGGATGCATGCGGGCGGCAGCACTGGGGCCTTCGGTGGGGCTCCCTATGGGGCCACGAAACGTGTGAGGGGTGTGCCGAATTGGGTGTGGGTGACGCGTGCGGGCGGCAGCACTGGGGCCTTCGGTGGGGCTCCCTATGGGGCCACGAAGCGCGTGAGGGGTGTGCCGACTTGGGTGTGGGGGACGCATGCGGGCGGCAACACTGGGGCCTTCGGTGGGGCTCCCTATGGGGCCACGAAACGTGTGAGGGGCGTGCCGAAATTGAGGATGATGACGATGATGATGGTGGGAGGAGGGAGGAGGAGGGGGAGTAGGAGGAGAGGAGAGGAGGACGCGGGGCACCGTCTCTTCAAAACGAGGACCCAACACCACAGGATGGTTGGGAAAAACGGATGTGCGTGGCGCTAGGGGAGAGCCACATTGCGAAAACGAACCTCACCTCATCCGTGGAGCCCTCGCATTTTTTTAAGATGGATGTACGCGGCGCTAAGGCGAGAGCCACATTTTGAACACGACCCGCCATCCATCCGCGAATTTGTTGCGAATTTGATGTTTCGGGATCATAAGTTGTGAGGAGGTCTCAGGCGAAACGCCTTGCCCGCCCTTGCGACCAGCCTCGGGTTGCGACAGGGAGGAGGAGGAGGAGGAGGAGGAGGAGGAGGAGGAGGAGGAGGAGGAGGAGGAGGAGGGGAGGAGGAGGAGGAGGAGGAGAGGAGGAGGAGGAGGAGAAGGAGAACGAGGAGGAGAGGAGGAGGAGGAGGAGGAGGGGAGGAGAACGAGGAGGAGAACGAGGGAGGAGGAGGGGGGATTGATGATGCTGCTGATGATTGATGATGATGATGATGATGATGATGATGATGATGATGATGATGATGATGATGATGATGATGATGATACTGATGAATGATGATGCTGATGATGATGATGATGAGGAGGAGGAGGAGGAGGAGGAGGAGGAGGAGGAGGATGATGATGATGAGATGATGAGAGGAGGAGGAGAGGGAGGAGGAGGATGAGGAGGAGAGGGGGACAAGGACGAAGACGAGCACGAGGACGAGGAGGAGGAGGAGGAGGAGAGGAGGAGGAGGAGGAAGAGTGGAGGAGGAGGAGGAGGAGGAAAAAGAGGAGGAGGAGGAGTAGGAGTAGGAGGAGGAGGAGGAGTAGGAGGAGGAGGAGGAGAAGGAGGAGGAGGAGGAGGAGGAGGAGGAGGAGGAGGACAAGGAGGAGGAGGACAAGGAGGAGGAGGAGAAGGAGGAGGAGGAGGAGGAGAGGAGGAGGAGGAGGAGGAGAGAGCACGAGGAGGAGGAGGAGTATGAGAAGGAGGAGGAGGAGGAGGAGGAGGAGGAGGAGAAAGCACGAGGAGGAGGAGGAGGACAAGGAGGAGGAAGAGAATGTGGAGAACGAGAGGGTGGAGGATGAGGAGGAGGAAGAGGAGGAATACCAGGGAAATGAGGACAGGAGGAGGAGGATGAGGAGGAGGAGGAGGACGAGGAACCCGCGTCCCATGCCGGCCCTGTTTCTCCACTGCTGGTGAATGAGACATCGAGGCGCGGTGCCCCAGAGGTCCGCCCTCCCCCCCCGCCTCCGCCCCCCCCCCCCCCCCTCCTGGCCTGCCTTGCCCTTTCAAGCCCTGCCCCCCTCCAGCGGCGCAGGAGCGCGCTGGACGCGCTGGGCGCGCTGCGCTTCGGCGCCAGGGCGTCGCTCGTGGACGCGGGGAGGAGGGAGGTGAGGCTTGGCATCGCTCGGACATGTGCGATGGGCAGTTTCTCCCAGCGAGGACCACTGAGGAGCACTTGGAGCATCTTGCCCCCCTCAAGCAGATAGGCGCGCGAAGCCGAACAGGATCGACCCACGAACCTTGAAAGGGATGTAGAACTGTGAAGCATGGCATCGTTTCCAAGACGCCAAACTTGGGCGACGGGCACTTTACAGTGCTCCAGGTAACGATCGTGATGTGCTGTGCCACGGGCTGTGCTGTGCTGCGCCGTGCTGTGCCGTGCAATGCTGAGTTCAACAAGTCACGCCGCGTTGAACCGTGACTCTTTATTGCATTGTGGATCAAGTGGTCCTTGGCGTTAGACTCGTGGCCAAACTGATTTGGATCTTGAGCTCGAACTGCTTGAACGCACAGCTCGGGCTAGTTGTAGTCGCGACTCGCGGGGCGCTCGATCAGCTCGAGCTCAAGATCTGATTCAGTACGAAGCCATCGCACGAGACATTCAGTTCCACAACGGAGCGAACCGAGCGCGAAACATGCGGGGCGTTCAACCAGCTCGAACTCAAGATCGGATTCAGTTCCGAAGTGGGACGAGTCGATCAAGGGTTGAATCCGAACCGAAACGAAAAGCACCGAGACGACGACAAGGCCCCCGCTCGACACCTCCTCAAACAATGGAAAACCAGCGTTTCGCGAGAGATATCCTCAACACACCCTGCAGAAGGAGCCTCTCGCTGCAGGCGAGGACCTTCTCGAGGCATCCTCGGCAGATCCTGCAGAGCGAGCGTTTCGCCCCCAGACTTCCCCCAACACATGCTCACGTCAGTGATCCGCCAGGGTGGCCTGGGCACGCAGAGGCCCGGGTTCTCATCGAAGCACCCTCAGCACATCCCCACGCTGAAGATCCGCCCGAGCGACGTGAGACGGGCGTGAAAGCACGTGGGTCCTTTGCGCGCCAGAGCGCAGGACGCGTGAGAGCACGTGGGCCCCTTCGGAGCACACGCGAACATGCGTGGGCCCCTTTCGCCCCAGAGCGGAACATGCGTGACAACGCGTGGGCCCTTTTCGTCCCAGCGCGCAGCAAGCGTGACCTTACGTGGGCTCCTTTCGCCCCAGAGCGGAAGAAGCGTGAACACATGTGGGTCCTTCTTCGCCCCAGGGTGGACCAGGCATGAAAACATGTGGGCGCTTTGCGCCCATGGCGCAGCCAGCGTGAAATTAGGTGGGTCCTTTTAGCCCCAGAGCGGAATAAGCGTGAGCACACCTGGGTCTTTCTCGTTCTGAGATGCAGTAGTGCGAAACACACGTGCCCCCCCCCCCCCCCAGGAAGCCCCAGGAGCCCCCCCCCCCAGAGCCCCAGGACGGAACGCGCCCAGTGATTATGCATATAGTACCTGTTCGTTGAGTTTGCGCTGCCTTTGTGCCCTCTCTCACTTTTTGGGGAGGGAGACCGCCCCTGGGTGGCCAGGACGCGTGACAACACGTGGGTCCCTTTCGACCCAGAGCGCAGCACGCGTGAAATCACGTGGGTCTCTTTCGCTCTAGAGCGCAGTACATGTAAACACACGTGGGTCCTTGTCGTCCCAGAGCGGAACAAGCGCGAAAACACGTGGATTCCTTTTGCCCCAGAGCGCAGCAAGCGTGACAACACGTGGGTCCCGCTCACCCCAGGGCGCAGCACGCGTGGAAGCACGTGGGTCCCTTTTGTTTCAGACAGCGGTAAGCGTGGAGGCACATTGTTCAACTCTGGGGCGAAAGGGGCCTACGTGTTTCCACGATAGGTCTTTCTGAGGAAAGGAAATGTTTTCACGCTTGCCGTGCCCTGAGGCAAAAGGGACCCACGTGTTCTCATTATTGCTCTGCTCTGAGGCGAATGAGACCCACGCGATTTCACGCTTGCTGCGCCCTGAGGCGAAAGTGATCCACGTGATTTAGCTTTTGTTCCGCCATGAAGCGAAAAAGGACTAGGAAGAAAGAGACGGCCTCCCCACTTCTGCAAAACGAGCATTTTGTTCGAGACATCCTCGAAGTTCCTGCGCGCAGGACGCGCCATCCTCGAGCGGGGACGCAACACGTCAACATTCCATTCTTTGGTAACCGTGTTAAAGTTACCAGACCGCGGATTTCGCCGAAAACGCTCCGCACCCTCTTCTTTACGCGGGACATCCACGATCAGAGACCCCACTACGACGGGCAAAGTCCGTGAAGCGCAAGTTCAGGAGCAGGAAGAAGGGGACGAACATGCCCCAGAACCCCTCCAGCACGAAGACACACAGTTGCAACGAAACATTCACAACGGCAGCCGCCTTCCGACTCATTCCGAGACAATCCGCGCGGCCAGCATCACCACGCCCGCAAACGTGTCCTGGAAGCCACGTTGAACCCTTTCAGGAAGCCCAGCCAACACGTATAGCGGGTGAGCGACGCCCCATGCCCACGAACAAATCGTGCCAGAACTCGCGGAAGCATCGACGTGAACAGAAATACAAATTAGGTAATTATCAGCAGCACACCCAGCAAGAACATGAGGCTAGAGGAAAAGACGCCCAGGCCCAGGGCCAGGAGGGAGCCCCTTCGGATCCCAACCCGGAAAGTCCTTGGCAGCCACGTCTCGAAGCACCTCGCAGTTTCCGCTGGAGCTTGCGGGGGCCGAACTCGGCGAGGCCCCCTCGGTCGTGATCGAGTCCAGCGAACGCGCCAGCCAGACTCTGGCGATTGCCGCGCGCGCCCGCCACGTCGCGCTGCCAGGCTGCGAAACGGGCACGGCGTCCAGCGGCGGGCCCATGGCACCTCCTCCTCCTCCTCCTCCTCCTCTTCCTCCTCCTCCTCCTCCTCCTCCTCCTCCTCCTCCTCCTCCTCCTTGGGAGGGGGGGGGGGTCCTGGCGCCCCGTGGTTGACCAGGGCGAGGGGAGCACCCCTGGTCCGAGACTCGGCTGCAGCCGCCTCGCCGCACGAAAGGTCCCTCGCAGCGCCCTGCCCAGGCACCGCTTCCAGCAAGGCCCTCGCCGCCGCGCCCCTCGCGGGGTTGCAGGGCTCCTCACGGCGGCTTCTGCAGGCACGGCGCTGGACCAGCACTCCCGAGAACGCCGCGGCCCCGCACGAACAGAGCACGCCGCACGCCTGCTCTGCGACGAGCTCGACGCTCGGGGCATGGTGCATCCAGCACTCCAGCGGCCCCCAGACGCCTGCGGCTGGCACGAACACCTCGGCGTCCGCGCGCAGCCCCGCGCCACCACGCGGGCACCTAGCCCCGAGGCGCCGGCCGTGCTGCGCCCGCCGCCGCTCGCCCGGGAGCGCCGAGGCCGCGAGGCAGCGGTGCGCGTGCCACGACACGCTGCGGCGCACGCGGTCCTCCAGCAGCTCCGGGTCCCCAGCCTCGGCTTCGCGGCGGCCTACGCAACATGGCACCCTGGACATGTTGCCATCCTCAAAAAGAGCCCTGGGCCGGAGCCCTTTCCGGGACAAAAGGGGATGGACGTCCGAGCGATGGTAAGGGGGGAGGCAAGCAAGGCGCGCTCGTGCCACATTTGCCGTCCGACCCCTCCCATCTGTTCCTGATAATTCTTCCTCCGCCGACCAGGCTGTCCTAGAGGATCCGGATGACTAGGTGGCAGTCGCAAGATTTTGCCGATCGTTTGAAGTGCAATCGGCAAGCGTTGCTCTGCACAGTTAACGCAACTGGAGGAGGAGGAGGAGGAGGAGGAGGAGGAAAAGGAGGAGGAGTTGGAGGAGGAGGAGGAGGAGGAGGAGGCGGACAGCACGAAGGCGGAGGAGGGGGAAGGAGGTGAACGACAGTGACGAGGAAGGAGTTGGATCCAGAAGTGTTGCTCGCGCTGGGTCGAGACCGCCACTCTGGACGACTGGAGCGAACCCCGATTCTGAAAGCAGGTGGCTAACGCTTCGGCGGGAACAGCGTTTTACAAGGATCGAGCACTCTCCGATGGAACAACTGACACCCTTGCGACGGAAGGCCCTGAACAGACGGCTCTACACAGTTCACGATAGGGGGCCACGATATGGTGTCACGACGGGGGGCCACGACGGGGGGCCACGACGGGGGGCCACGGTGCGGGACCACGATAGTGGAGGGTGGGGGGGGGGGCGATACGGGGGGGCGGGGGGCACGCAGGAGGACGACAACGAGGAGGAGAGAAGAGCCGAGGGGAGGAGGAGGAGGAGGAGGAGGAGGAGGAGGAGGAGGAGGAGGAGGAGGAGGAGGAGGAGGAGGAGGGAGGAGGAGGAGGAGGAGGGAGCAGCGGCAGCAGGACGAGGAATTCTGGAGTCCTCCGTCCGCGGAGGGTGAGGAGGGGGGCAGCCACAGGAAGCGGTAAGCAGACAAACATATTAGTCATGACGTGGAGTTCCCCATCTGTGCATCCATTTGCAGAGACCGTTCCCCCGTGGGTGTCCATGCGCAAGAGGCTTTGAGCATGCACGAGCTGGAGTATTGAAAGACAGGAAGTGGATCCCACGGTGAATGAGTTCGAGTGCGAATGTGTTTCCGTCGTACGAGTGGGCTTATGCGCATGAGTCTGGATATGGCTTAGCTTAGGGTGAGTGTATATGTACGTCAGTGGCGTGAGCATGACCAGGCAGGACTAAGTCGGCATGGCTACGCGAATCCTGTCTCTATGACGAAGCGAGGAGCACGGGTGCTCATGTAAACGCCGTGCAGGAACCTTGCACTTGGTTCTCTGGCACAGAAGACCTTACGCAGTGGCGCACGCAACCACGCGAAACACCACGTGGAAGAGAGAGGATTTGCTCTTGGCTTTACTCTGGAAGCTCACGCTCCAGTGTCCCGCTGGCGGAGTCAACGGCGGCAACCCTGACAAGAGCTCATGGCACGAAGGGGGGGACATGTGGCTCGTTTCTTTAGCGGCCAGAGCAAGTCTTGTGATGAGCACCGTCGCTCCTGTACAGAATTGCAGGAGGCATTGGACAACCTCATGTCGCGCTCATGCCTCGCCTGGGACGCCTCCTGGCTCTGCTCTGAACGCAGGCGAGCCTGGCCACCGAGACAGGCAAACCGCCCGAGACATCCTCGCAATTTGAGCCCCTGCCGGTGCTGAAACCAGAGCTTCGCCCGAGACGTCCCCATAATCTGCTTTGAACGCAGACGAATATGGCCACGAAAACAGGCAAACCGTTCGAGGCATCCTCGCAATCTGGGCCCCTAGGGGTGCGAAAACCAACGCCTCGCCCGAGACATCCTCAACATCTGTCCCGAAAATGGAGGAGGATGTTGGGTAGGTAAACAGGAGAACCGCTTGAGGCATCCCGGCAATGTGGGCGCGAACGGAAGAGCGAGACACCCCCGGGCGGCCCCGTTTTGGGGGTGCTGACACTAGCGCCTCGCCAGAGACATCCTCAGAGTCTGCTCTGAACGCAGACGGATCTGGCCACCAAAACAGGACAATCCTTTCGAGACATTCTCGCAATCTGGCTCCCCCCCCCCCCTCCTCCCCCCTCCCCCGCATGGGGTGCTGAAGCCAATGCCTCGCCCGAGACATCGTCAACATCATCTCTGACAGCGGAGGATGTTTGGGAGGTGCACCAGCGAACCGCTCGAGACTTTCCCCGCGTTCTGGACGCGAGCGGAGGAGTGAATCACTCCCTGGCGGCCCCGTTTTGGGGATGCTGAAACCTGCGCTTCGCCCGCGACATCTTGAAAGTCATCATCACCATCACCATCACCATCATTATCACCACCACCACCATCATCATCATCATCATCATCATCATCATCATCATCATCATCATCATCATCACAATCATCATCATCATCATCGTCATCGTCGTCATCGTCATCATCAGCATTATCATCATCGGCACCATCATCATCATTGTCATCATCACCATCGTCGTCATCATCATCATCAGCATCATCATCATCATCATTATCATCATCATCACCATCATCATCATCACCACCATCATCATCATCGCCATCATCATCAGCATCAGCATCATCATCACGATCCTCATCGCCATCTTTGCCGAGACAGTGAGTCTGAGTGAGCGGAGGATAAGTAGAGGAAGGTGTTGGTGAGGACTCGGCGCGGCCAGAGTAATAACAATAACCCCATCCTTAGGATATGGGGCATAACATATGACCAGGGTGGGTCATATGGAGAAGCTGCTACGTTGAAGGACGGGTGTAGTGGAGGTCGGAGGCAGCGCCGATCCGCTCCCGAAGAAGGAGACCATGGGGAACTGGGAGCAGCGGGGATCATGAGAAGAAGGGGGAGGGGGGTGAGGAGAAGGAAGTGGTGGAGGACTGGGGCGTGGAGGATGAGTGTTGGTGATGAGGGGTGGGGTGGATGTGGACGGAGAAGGAGCATGTTGTAGAGGACTGAAGGGAAAGGGATGCTTTCAGAGAGCAGGAGGGGGACATGGGAGCGGGATGGCCAGGAGAACCGTGCGCGGGCGAACGCCGTTGACGACCCGCTGGCTCTGAGGAGCGGCCCACTCTTCTTCCAGCGTTGTGCGTCTTCTCCATGTCTCTTTCTTCCTGCCTTCCCCTTCCTCTCCTTTTCCTTCCCTCCATTCCCCTCCCCTCTCTGCCTTGCACTCCTCTCCCCGCCCTTCCCCTCCCCCCTCTTTTCCCCTCCACGAACCGCCTTTCTCCTCTCTCCTCCCTCTTCTCCCCCCCTCTTTTCCTGTCTTCCTCGTCCCACTCCCTATTGGCTCCCCAAAATCTCCCTCCGTCCCCTATCCCAATCTCAGAACGCACTTTTGGCATTCATCCTCGCCATCGTCATCGTCCTCCACCTGCTTCGTCATCCGTCTTCGCTTTCGTCGTCCGTCTCCATCATCCGTCTTCATTATCCGTCTTCGTCATATTCATCGTCTTCATTATCCTCCTGCTGCACGCGTTGTTTCGTTATCATCCTCCTCCTCCTCCTCGCCAGGCGGGCCTGGGCCCATGATCGACCTGACAAGGATGGGTGTTGGTGTGTAGTTGGCGTCCTCCAGAGAGCCCAGGAGGACAATGCGGGGGAGAAGGAGGAGAAGGAGGAAGAGGAGGAGGAGGAGGAGGAGGAGGAGGACAAACAGGTGGAGAAAAAGGATGATGATGATGATGATGATGATGATGATGATGATGATGATGATGATGATGATGATGATGAGGATGAGGATGATGATGATGATGATGATGATGATGCTGATGATGATGATGATGCTGATGATGATCATGATGATGATGATGATGATGATGATGATGATGATGATGATGATGATGATGATGATGATGATGATGATGATGATGATGATGATGATGAGGAGGAGGAGGAGGAGGAGGAGGAGGAGGAGGAGGAGGAGGTTTTCCTGTCTGAAAATGGACAGGTCAATGGGGGGAGAGGTCAATCGGGTGAGAGGAGGCGGACGAAGAGGAGGAGGAGGAGGAGGACGAGGAGGACGATGAGGAGGAGGACCAGAGTCAACCAAAGATACATCAACTGCTGCTGCAATCCACCCTCTCGTCCCAAGCCCCCTCCTCATAAGTTGTTCTTTCCCCTGCAGCCGCCACCCCTTGAGTGCTGAACGGCCAGTCGGTCCGCCAGTCAGACAAGGGCGCCTGTTGTAAAGGATCCTCCTCCCATTGGAAGGACGCACAGGATAGCCTTTTTGTGAGAAGCACATGGCTTCCGTCCGTCTAAGCGTTGCAGGACGTCAAGTCGTGGACGTATGCACCGTGGAAATCCCACGCGAGAGCCCTTCAAGGAGGCCCAGGGATACGTTCATTTTGAGAAGGACATCACATCCAACGAGCCAGCCTAACGTCAAGTACGCCGCACCGTATCGCGCAAACGACGCAGTAGAACAGCGGCAAGATCACCGCAATGATTCTCAGGAGTACCGTACACAAATGAGGCGCCAAATGGGTGGCCGTACACAGAGAAGGCGCCAATGATGCCTTCACGCTCTCGTCGTCTTCCTCCTGTTCTTCCCCCTCCTCTCCGTAGCCGTGTTGGCTCAAACAACGTCCATGTTTTTCCACCATTCCGGAATCTGACCGAGCCGCCAGATGGTAGCGATGGCCGCCCGCGCCGCGTTGGCGGCATGCGCCGGCAGGGCAGCCCTGGCGATGCACACCTCGCTCTACAGCCAGCCAGATGGGGCACTCCCTTCCGTCGCAGGCGATGTTTCCACCCCAACCCCTGGTTTTTCGACGAACAGTGGGGTCGCTCAGCACAGGAGGGAAATCTTGGGAAGCACCCCAGTGGGGCTATTCGGACGCACCCCCATCGAGGAGGGACGCCCGCCCCTCGTATATCCAAGGGTTGGGGCCCGAATGCTTGGTCCACTCGAAGAACCCCACGAAGTCTACGGCCAGCCAGAAGGGGGCCGCCTTGGGGAGCCTCAGGCGGTGGCTCCAGCCTCGAGGCGGGGGCCGAGGGCCACGCGATTCCGATCGACGGCGCTCCTGCGGTCCAGACCGGCACGGCGGCCAACGGCCTCGAGCAGCACCGCCGCCAGAAGGAGCAGGCCCTGTGGCTCGGCGGGAGGTCGCGGCAGGTCATGACGAACCACAACGACGTCCAGTACGTTGGCTTCGTCGAGGTGGGGGGCCAGACCATATCGGGCATCTTCGACACGGGCTCCTTTGAGCTGGTCGTGTTCTCCGCAGTTTGCCAGACGTGCGGCGTGGCGGGCAGGTACGACCCCGCGCTGAGCGCGAGCCACAGGCGAGGTAACCTCACGTCCAGTCAGGGATACGGCAGCGGCACCGTGAGCACGCAGGATGCCTCCGACATGGTCTCGGTCGGGCCTTACGGGCCCAAGAACCAGTCCTTCTGGGAGGTGACCGATGCCAATATGCCGGTGCTGGCTAACTCGGAGTTTCAGTGCATCATCGGTCTCGGCCCCCCAGAGACACCGGCCATAGACGCCGATCTTCGCCTGGCGAAGATTCTCGAGAGCAAATCCAGCTACACCGACGCGGGGATGCCGCTGCCTTCCGATCTTCTGAAGTCAGAGGAAAACGTGAGGGCGGTCAAGTTGGCGATGGAGAAGAAGAGCATGGTCGTGGAGAACTTCGACGCGACCCTGTTCTCGATATGCGTCGGCAAACAACCGAACTCGAACGGGTACTTGATCTGGGGCGACACCGCGCCACTGGTCAAGCCCGAGTACTTCTTGCGCGTGAAGGTGGCGGGCAACCACACCTGGAGCGTCACTCTGGATGAACCTACGCTTGTCTACGACCCGACAGCCAAGGACAGGCAGTTCGACGAGGGCAATAAGTTCGCAGGCAGGGCGATCGGCTGCCCAGACGGGTGCGGGGCGCTTCTGGACAGCGGCACCTCGCTCTTGGCGGTGCCCGCCAGTGTGCTCCACGATCTCGTCATGCTGACGCTCGAGCCGGGGTTCAACTGCAGTAATATGTGGGAGTTGCCTTCGATCAAGTTCAAGCTTGGCGGCCAGGAGGTCATCCTGCCCCCCGACTCCTATATTTCGGAGGTGCAGAACGAGGCCATCGTGCCATCGTATCTCCAGAGCTTCGTGCGTCTGCGCAGGCTTGGGCCCGCGAGGGATCTGGGCTCGCAGGAGCTCGGCTCCTACAGGGGCTCGGAGCGGCTCGGGCCTCGGAGGGGCCTCGACTCGCTCGGGCCTCGAAGAGAAATGAACGCCCAGAGGCCAGGGGCCCGCTGCGACCTCACGGTGATGGAGTCCAGGGCGAAAACCGCCCACGGCCCCTTGTGGATTTTGGGCGTGCCCTTCTTCAGGCAGTACTACGCTACCTTCGAGGTCTCGGGCCGCTCCAGCGAGAACCGCGCCATACACCTCGCCAGAGCCTCCGACACCTGCCACCCGGCCGCACCGTCAGAGAGCTCGAGGTTCCCGCCGCGGACGCAGCTCTACAAGCGCCTCATCGATCCCGCCAAGCTCTGGGTGCCGCCGTCCACCTACAGCGCACTCAGCGCCGACTACGTGTTTCTGTGAGGAGGAGCCCTGCGCCATCCTCCCGTGCCGCTCGCGCGCGCACGGTCGATGCGCAGGTGAGCCGGGCAGGGGAGGGGCGGAGCGACCGATTTCGGGCGCAGCTCCCGGAGGGGTGCGCCCCCCCTTCCTGCGTCTCGTCTCCATTGTCACTGCGGCAGCGGCCAACACCCACCATTCTGCCATGGGTTCCAAGAGCACTTCCAAGAGCAACTTTCTTTCATTGCCAGAACGGTTGTTTCGATATTTTGTTGTCGCACGTGCTTGTCTGCGTGGTGGAGTTGCGACTGAAGACGTTATTCGATCGCCCTCGCCCCCTCCGCTTTACCTCTCACGTGCGCGCCCTGTCCTTCTGCGCTCTTGACTTTGATTTCTTTTACCAGTCAGTTTTGCCATTTTGCATCCTCCCCCTCCTTCGCTCATTGCATCGCCCTTCCCCGCAATGACGCTCCTTTCGCCACGCTCCTCGAACAAGCGAGTTCTCCTTTGCCTGGCATGGACGAGAGGTTGAAGGCGGGGGGGAGGAGCTCGGGTTTCCCTATCTCTCATCGTATGTAGTGTTTCGTTTCTTTCTTTCTTTCTTTCTTTCTTTCTCTGTCTGTCTGCCTGTCTGTTGTCTCTCTCTCTCTCTCTCTTTCTCCCTCCCTTTTTTTTTTTTTTTTTTTTTTTTCTCTCTCTCTCTCTCTCTCTCTCTCTCTCTCTCTCTCTCTCCCTCACATGAAGGCGGATTTAGTCGGGGAGCACCACTGGGCAGGCGCAAGTGTTGGGCGGAAAATAGCGAGGGTGATTGTGTTTACAGCCACTCATTGGGCCAGAATTCGTAGGGGAGGAAATGAACAGTAATAGGGCCGCGTCAGTGGGGAACAAGTAACGGGGAACACTCAGTGCACATCGGGGAGCGTCGGGCCACGCTCCAAGGCACAATCGTTGGCGCGTTGTCTAGACCTCATGTATCCTGTTAGGCCAACATGAAACGGAACATATCGCGCGCATGATGTTGCATGTGAGTAGAACACTCATGTACAACACGAGCCAGACGAAACAGCTCTGACCATTGTGGAAGTTCGTGAGGTTCTTAGCTGGTAGCGTTTATCGACCAGCATGTTGAGACGCAGGACAGAGTTAATGGATGGAGTATTTGTGCGTAGGTTAGTGGGGGGCACTCGTGTGTATTCTAGTGAGGGCATTCGTGTGCGTGCTAGTGAGGGACTTGCGTGTACGCCAGTGAGGGATCAATCGTGTGCATGCTAGCGAGGAAGCGCTATTAATGTGCCCGACGGGATGAGCGTGCAAGCTGGTAAGGGGAATTCGTGCGCACACCTAGTGGTCCAGGATCCGAATCGGGGAATGCGTAAGCGGTCGCGGGGGGACAGGAGATCTAGCCTAGGGGCTGCAGCGACCCCGCAGGGATTTTCTTCGGCGAGCTGCCGCAGGGCACAAGAGGTGGGGTAGAGAGAGGAGGCGAGGCGGGGGATGGGAGGGGAGAAAGATGCAAGGGAGGGGAGCGAGGGGACTGGAGAGGGATGGGGGAGGGGGAGAGGAGATCGGGCAGAGGGAGTCCGAGGAGGGAGAGGGCATGGGAGGGACGTGCGGCAAGGACAGGGACGATAGCGGCTATGAGTTGTTCACGAGATCCGCTGAATCGGCGATGGAATGTTTTTGTTTCACCTTGCTTTGTTGTGCACAGTGACCATCGCCTGCCTTCTTCTTCTCCTCTGAGCTTCACCATCGTCCTTCCCCCCCCGTTCTGCTCAATCCGCCCGCGAAGCCAACTTGGCTCAGGCCATGGCGCACGCGCGAGGGCAAATGTAGCTTTGGGGCATCCTTGCAGGAATCCCCGTTCCTGCTTCGCTCCCAGAGATCCAATGTTTAGATATTTGCCGTGCGGGGTCCCCAGAAACCCCTACGCTTTCCCCAGGGCCAGCTCTTTGCTTTGTTTCGTTTTTGACAGTCCCGGGGCCCGGCGAGGGCATTTGGAGGCGAAAGACTGCGAAACATTTCCGTCTTGATTTGTTCAACGCGTTGGAGGTCTGGTTTCGCGGCTGCGTTAAGGGGGCGGCCATGCCCCCCCTGCGACGCCTTTGGCATCCCAGCGTCCAGGCCTCCCAAATAGGATCGAAGTAGATGGGGTCGGTGGATCGCGCCCCATCGCCGATTCATCGGTTGTGCGCCTCGATGTGGAGTCCGATTTCCTCCATGCCGACTCCATGCCGACGTCGCGGATGCCTCGCCGGCGTCGCCAGTGCATCGGTGACGCATCGGCGATGCGGCGCGATCCTCCGACCCCGTCTCTACCCAGAGCCCTTTGGGAGGCCACCGCAGCGCCGGCCGCTCCCTGGCTGCCGCGGCGCTGACCACGTGCTGCCCCGCGCGCGGGCTCGCCTCGGGCCTGGCCGGCAGCGCCGGGCGCGCGGGCGGCCCGTCGGGCGGGGGCTGGGGCGAGCTCCTGGACGAGGCGGCGCCCCTGCGAGCGGCCAGGGCCGAGGCTCAGTGGAGGAAGAGGTACGGTAGGTTCATGCGGCGTTGGCGCGCCAGCGACGCTGGCGGAGGCGTTCAAGGTTGAATTCTGCGACGCGGGAGCACCGAGGAACACAGTTACGCCATTGGACCCGACGGAATTCAACCTTGAACGATCGGGGCCGCGATCGATTCAAGGTTGAATGATCGACGTGGTGTCGAAAACCTTTGCGCGCGCCGACGCCGCGCGAACTTACCGTACCGATGTCGCCACCCCTGCCTCGTCTTCGCCACTTTGGTGCCTCCTGGAAGGCCCTAGTCGCCACGGTCGAACTCTCCTCGAAACTCTGGTCAGATCGCGCCCCAGGAGAGGTCTGGGGAGTAGCGGGGTATCCGTACTTTGTGCTGACCCCGGAGGCCGACCCCGTCGCCAGGGCAGCTGGTGATCCAGGAGGCACCGCGCCCGCGCCGCGCGAGGGCGTGTCGGCTGCTCTGCCGCAGGGCACGTGGGCGAGGGTGACTGCGGCGAGCGTGCCGGAGGGCTGCTGCGGGGCACTTGCTGCGGCCGTGGATGAAGCTGGTGTCATCCGCCTGCAGGCCGCGTCTGGCGCGCCGGGCGGAGGCGTGGCTTGGGGCGTCTTCGGGGACTCGCTGAGCGAGCTCGGTTGGAGCAGCCTGTCCTTGCACCTCGCGGGCCCGGAGAGCAGCGTCGGCGACGACGTCAAGATGTACGCCGCCGGCCTCGTGGAGGGCTTCCTGACCGCGGAGCGCCTGCGGGAGTTCCACCGCAACAGCCAGGCGCTGCTGCTCATGAGCCCTGACAACCGGCAGCGGCTACCTGGCCTGCAGCGGGCGCTGGCGCGGAGCGTAGAGGAGCTCGCCGCGGCGTCGCGCGACGCGGGCTTCTTGCAGGAGGCTGGCGCGAGCGCCCTCGAAACACAGGCGTCGAATGAGGATAACTGCACAAACAGAAACTTTCAGAGATCCGGGAGGATTCCTTTGATCGGCTCTGGACCCCACCAGCGGCGCCTCTGGCGCCGCACCTGGCGCGCTCCGCGCGCCAGGGAGGGGGGCCCAGCGCATATCCAAAAGAATCCGCGCGGAGCTCCGAAAGTTTATGTTTACTCGCTGTTTGCTCTTCCTCTACAGGCGGGCCTGGCGTTCCTGCAGGCCTGGGGCGTGCGGGATGGCTACGAGTTGGCCCGCGCGAGGCTGCCGCAGCTCTCGGGCGCCGCGCCGCTGTCGATGGTGGACCTGATGCTGATTAACTCCGACGGCGTCGTGGACGAGCTGATGGCGAAGTACGGCGGGGAGGCTCATGGATGGTAAGGCTTCGGGTTTCACGCAGACAGCTCTCGCAGGTAGTCCTAGCTGATGCCAGCAGGCCCCCCGAGTAGTCCTGGGCGGTCTTAAGTCTTAAGCCTTACCATCCTGGCGCCGCCTCTGGCGGCACCCCTGGGGCGCTCAGCGCCCCAGGGTTGGGTGCTGAAGCCGCCCTGGGTTAGTCGGGGGGCCTGTTGAGGCCAGCCGGGACGACCTTTGGGGGGCTTTCCGAAGCCGAAGCCTTACCGAAGCCTTGCCACTCAGGGAGGGGCGGACGCGCTGCTGGAGGAGAGGGCGAGCAGAGGAGCGGTGCTTCGTCACGGCTTCACTGGCGCACGGCACCGCGGCCCTGCCGCCAGCCCGCCGGCGCGTCACCAGCCGCCGCGGGCCGTGGGACACTGCACCGCCTTAGCGCGCCTCACGGAGGACAGGCAGGAGCTGTACCTGGGCCACACCACCTGGGAGGCGTACTCCGAGATGACGCGGATCTGGAAGGTGTACGACTTCCCACTCAAGGGCGTCGCCGCCAGGAAGATCTCGTTCTCGTCGTACCCTGGGTGCGTCTCCAGCACTGACGACTACTACCTCATGGACAGCGGCCTCGCGGTGACCGAGACCACTCTGCAGGTGCCCGGCACGCAGCACTACGACACCTCGGCGTCCTCGCTGCCAGACTTCCTGCGAATCATGGCCGCTAACCGCATCGCGTCCAGCGGCAAGGAGTGGGTCGACAGCATGGTCGCCAGCGCCACGGGCACATATTCGTCGCAGTGGCTCGTGACTGATTACGGCAGGTTCTCCCCGGGCAGCAGCCTTCCCGAGGGCACCTTCTACGTGCTCGAGCAGGCGCCTGGCATCTCGCACTTCGAGGACATGTCTGCGCACCTCCAGAAGGAGGGCTACTGGGCATCGTACGACCGCGCCTACTTCGACGACGTGCGGGACGCTACCGGCGACGCCGCCATGGAGGCGAAGCTGCGGGCGGCCCCAGCGGGCTCCGAGGCGCGGGCGGACGCGGCGCTGTACTCGAAGTCCGACACGCCCCGCGCGCAGATCGTGCGCCAGACTGCTCGGGGCGTGGGCTCGCTGGAGGCGATGCGCGAGGAGATGACGCGCAACCGCGGCACCGAGGAGCCCGTGCGGGAGGCCGCTCTGCGGGTGCCCTGGTTCACGATTTCGGCTCGCAGTGACCTCGAGGACAAGCATCACATCAACCGCCGGGGCAGTCCGGAGGGAGGCGTGGACTCCAAGGTGACGAGCTCGTGCCTGTTCCGGACGCTGACGGCGGAGGCGATCTCGTCCCCGACGCACGTCGACATGCCCCCCTTCCGCTGGACCTCGGCGTCTGGCGAGGATGTCTGGCCAGGCTATCCCCACGAGGGTCTGCCCACCACGGCCAACTTCGACTGGGTGCGCGTGGACGCGCAGGACCAGATGCTGAGCAGCCTGGGGAGCGGCTCGTGCAACTGAGCAGTGCTGCCCTGATCAGCTTTTCCCTTCTTTTCTCCTCTTCCTTGTTCCAAGAGTGTGATCCACGGATCACACTCTTGGGACAAGCTCTTGGAACAACGATTTGTTGGCTCGCCACCAGTTCTTTGGCTATCGTGTTGCTCCTGGCCGCTTTGCGCGTGTTCTTCTCTCCCTCTCCCTCTTGTCTCTTCCCCGCATAGTGGAGTTCTGTTTCTTTCAGTGGGGAAGCTGGCAAGTTCCATCGTCATTGCATTGAGGCCGTGGAAAGACGCGTCTTCTCCACTTCCCTTTCCCCCCCGCTCTCCCCCTCCTGATCTCTTCTATTCTCCTCGGCTCTGGCGCCCTGGCTGTTTCTGCAGCTTCTCGGCCCAGTAGTCTCCCTTCGTGTTCTCCCGCGGGCGCCTGATGCTCGGGCGACGAAATCTATACATATCCACTGCTCCCTGACCATGCCCATCTTGAACCCAGGAGCTGTGTATGCGCCCTCCTGGCCAAGCCAGGAGGGCGTGGCGTATACACCGCTGCGGGGTTGAGGATGGGCCTGGCCTGGGAGCAGTGGATATGTATAGATTTCGTCGCCCTATGATGCAGGCGCTCGTCCAGGTGGCCGCTCGTCCGGGGTGGCCATGGAGGGAGCGGGCGAGGCTCTCTTCCGGGGCATTCGGGCCGCGCTCTACGAGCGGCCCGTGGACCAGCCCCTGCCACCTCTCGCGGACCTCGGCGCCCCCGCCTGTGGGGCTTCTCCGTGGTCCGCCTGCGCCTGCGCCCCTGCGGCGGAGGGCATTTCCCCCTTCCCGTCCTCTCGGGTTCGGCCTGCCCCACCGTCTGCCCTGGGAGCGGAGCTCTTCGGCATCGATGAGCTAGAGGAATTCCGGCGCGGGGTGGAGCTAGTTGGTCGACCCGACCAGAAAGGACAACGTGGTAACTTTTGGGTGGTTTTGCTAAGATTTGAAAGATATTTTACAATTCATTTTGAGAAAGCAGATTTTTACTCTAAGCATTGACATATAAACTTTGTGCCCTGAGCAGCTGGTCCCCTGCTGCTCTCCTCGGTGGGGGCGCCGCTCGGCGCCACGGCCCTCTGCGGCCTCTGCGGGGGCCGCTGCATCGGGGCCCTGGCGTCACGCAGGCGGGGGCGCCTGCCCTTCGCCTGCGCGCGGAGCGATCAGTGCCGTTGGAGGGCACGGTCGCGTCGCGCGTCGCGCCCTGGTCTACGGTTATGTCGGGCCTGTCCTTCTACAGGGGGAATATTCAAAAACAGTCAAAAAGTAGTCTGGGGTATTTTTTTTTAGCATTTTCTGACCATTTTGGAATATTTTTTAGCGGTTTTTATATTCCGTCGAAGATCCCCCTGTAGGGGGGACACGCCCGACTTAAGCTTGCGGCCCAGGGGTGCAGGCTGAGGATCGTGCTGGGGCCGTGGCTCGTGTCTCGTCCCCGGCAGCGCCGCGGGGCCGGGAGGCCCAAAGGGGCCTTCGCGCGTGCCGCCGCGCATGTGGCGGCCGCCCCCGCTTGTTCCGGAAGAAGGCGGCTCTCCCCGAGGGTCCAGCGTGGCCCGGCCTCCCCCGTTCGCGGCGCCGTCGGCCACCAGGGACGACCGCTGGCGCTCGGGCGAGGGCGGGGCGGGCTACGCCGCGATGCCCCTGGCCTCTCGGCCCGGATTTAGCCTGCCGGTGTTGCCTGCGGCGTCCCGCTCGGCCGAGAGAATTTCAGCCTCGCGGAAGCCGGTGGCTTCCAGGGGTCGATCGGGTTTTACTGTGTGGTCGACTTGCCCCATGCTTGGCGCGGCCTCCCGCCCGCTGAACACTAATGCATCTGTGCTGCTGGTGGTCGACCCATCTACGGTGAAGCTGTTGGAATTGCTGTTTCACCGCTCACGCCCTTTGGGCAAGCGGCTTCCGTACTCGGTGGAATCATTTGCTTTCGGCTCTGGGCGCCCCGCTTGCCAAAGCGGCCTCGGTATTGAACCTGCCGCCTGCCTTCCTGCGGGTTTCTGGGGCAAGCGAGTTTGTTGTAAATGGCCAGAGAAGACGCTCCTCGCGTCTTCTGGCCGAGCCTCCAGCGCCGAGCGCTATCTGCAGGCTGCCGCCGATCCGTTCGTTTTTTTTCTGCCCTCCTTTTGCACTCGCGCGAACGCGTACTGCCTTCTGCGACACTGCTGGCGGCCGCCTTGCCGATTCCTTTCTCAAGGCTTCTGCACTGCTGCGTGGTCAACCCAAGTGGCGGCCGCCCGCCGAAACCTGGTTATTGTTCAGGAAGGGGAAAAAACACACAGACACAATTAATCGTCGATCCCCAGGAAGATATGGGAAATATGGGGAGTGGGGGGGAAGACAGAAACCCAGAAAATATAGGAAAATATGGTGAATCCTTTTATCTGTGTGTATTGATTTGTGTGGGCTGGGGCCCCTTCAATTGTGCAAGGACTTTGAGCATGTGCATGGCTGCCTCGCCCGAGCGGCGCGGCGCGGCCCGCGCGCGTCGGACGGGCCCGCCCCCCCCCCTCTGGGCCTCCTGGAGGGCGCGCGTCGAGGCGGCCGCGCGGAGACAGCTCGCTTGCGCCGATGCGGGAGAAGGATCTCTCCTGCTCTCCTCGTCTCTGGCGCCCTGGCTGTCTCTGTAGCCTCTCGGCCCCCCCCCGCGAATCCCTCCTGCCTCCTTTACACCGAAGCCGACCTGCGGCGCTGCTGCCTCGCCGATGTCGTTGGCGACCTGGTGGTTCTCTCCATCAGAGCGGCGACCGCGAACGTTCGGCGGGCACGCCCCCCTCTGGGCCGCCCGACGCGCTCGCGCCGCGGCGGCCGCGCGGAGACAGCTCGCTTGCGCCGATGCGGGAGACTTGCTCTCCCCAGTCCTCGTCCTTGTCCCCCTCTTCGTCACGCCGCTCTCCCAACCTTCCTTGGCCCTCCCCTGGCCGCAGGGGGCATCGAATGGCGCGTGCCGCTTGGGTCCGCCGACGCGTTGTATTTCCCAGGCCGCGGCCTCCACGCCATGCTCTGCTTGGCAGGGCGGGCTCCTCAGATTAGTGCGCGCGGCTTCGGCGCTCATTTCGCTCCGCTTCGCTTGCCCTCCTCCTGCCCCCCCTGCCTTTTTTCCTTCCCTGCTTTCTCTCCATCCAGCGGCCTGCGGCGTTTCCAGCCACCGTGCCAGCCTGGCGTTCGGGGCGGCGGCTGTTCGATGGGGAGCGGGGGCCGCCGCACGCGACGCCTCTTTTCCCCAGGCTTGGTAGGGCCGTGATCGTAATAATGGTGGTGATGATGGTGATGCTGATGATGATGATGAGGAGGAGGAGGAGGACGAGGGCCACTGTAAGCCCAAGGTTCAGCAACGATGTTGGAATGCACGCTCCTTCCAAGCTCCCTCTTCGTGGGCCCTACAAGGGTTCATAACGATTGAGGGGCATGCAGCGATGGGGGACAATCGCTTGACGACCTTGAAGCGTGCCAACGCGTTATTCCCATGATTCAAACGCCACGAGTCAATACGAGTGTTGCGTATTGATGATCTTGAATCGTGCCAGAACGCCGTTCCTGGGACTTCAACACCGCGAATCAACGTGACTGTTGCGGCCTGACTGGCCAGCATCGCCCTGGAACGCCATAGTTGGTACGTTAGCCATGGGAACCAGTGACAAACCGTTAATGTCCTACAGCGGATGCACGCGGCGCTTAGGCGAGGACCGCGTTTTGAAAACGAGCCGTTCCCAATCCGTGAAGCGTCTGCAACTACTTATGTTGAGTGTGCGCGGTGCTATGGCGGGAAAAACATTTGGCGAAACTCTTTCTAAATGTTAGAACGACTGTGCGCGGCGCTGGGGCGAGAGCCCCAGTTTGGAAACGATCTGCACTCAATCCGTGAAGATCTTGTACATTGGCAAAATTCGTTTGGCGCTACGACGAAAACCGCATGTTCACAACGATCTGCCACCATTCCTCAAAACGAGCCTTGACTCATGTTTGAAACGAGATGTGCGCGGCGCTAAATCAAACATCGCATTTTGGAAACGGCCCGTCCTCCATCTGTGAACCTGTTGCCAGTTTTAAAACTGGAGGTTCATACATAATACAGAGGTCTCAGGCGAAACGCCTTGCCTGCCCTTCCGACTTGGCCAGTGTTTACCCACGGCCCATCAATGTTGTTGGAATGAGCCCTCCCTCCAAGTTCTTTCTTCGTAGGCTCCATACAAGGCTTCATCTCCACTGAGGGAAATGCCCCGTTGGGGGACATTCTTTGAAGATCCTTAAGCGTGCCAGAGCACCATTCTTGCGACTCCAACGCCACGAATCAATCTGACTGTTGCGCCTTGGCGGTCCTGAATCGTGCCAGGACGCCGTTCCTGGAAAGCCAATGCAGCGAATCAGCGTTTTTGTTGCGCCCCTGGCAGTCCTGAATCGCGCCAAAGCGCAATTTCTGGTACGTTGACGATGGGAACACGTGGAACTTCTGCAAGTCTTTACGGCGAATGCGCGCGGCGCTTCGGCGAGAGCCACAGTTAGAAAACCAACCACCATGAATCCGTGAATCTGCTGCAATTTTGAAAAGGCGACTGTGCGCGGCGCTCAGGCGAGAGCCGTTGGAGACTGCTTTAAGGGGGAGGACGGCCGTGCTCGGGCACAGCATGATCGCCCTCTCCCCAGCCCTTCGGAGCCAGCCGCCAGCGCGCGCTGCAGCTGCAGTCTCATGCCCGCCTCCGAGAGCGCGTCGATGGACGAGACGAGTGCCTCCAACTGCTCGTCCGTGGCACGGCTGGTCGCGACCTGCGACGTACCGTGAGCCACCAAGTCGGAGGCGGGGATTTATCCATAACCACCGTCTGGGGTATCGATTTTCGCGGACCTCCACAGGCGGTGGATATGGACATATTCAGGCCCCCAGGGGCCAGAATATATTCAGATCCACCGCCCGCTAGGGCACCAGGACGTCGGTTCCCAGGCGGTGGATATGGATAAATCCCCGCCTCGCACCAAGCGCTCGACGAGGAGCTGCCGCTGCGAACATGC